CAACAGCGCAGAGGGAGAGATGGTTACACAGGTAAAGGTATGTAGAAGAGGAGATCCTACTTTGGCATTAGGTTGAAAGACAGTTGCTGCTCCATCTGGGCATCAGGGGTGAAAAAATGTAACAGCAACAAAATTTGGACTCTCAAATGGCTGCAATTTGAAATGTTATTCTTTTTTGGCTTTAAACAACAATGACATTATATTACTTTTTAAGGTGATATGGCCAACATGTTATCCAACAGTCTATTTAAATGTTGAAAAGACACAAAGCTATTAGTATTAATTTAGAGTTGTGTTTATGTGCACCTGATGAATGTAAATCCTGAATCTATTTTCATTTTAGGTTTGGTCTCCACCAACTACTGAGGGAATAATAAGTAATAATTGGACATAATGTGATACAATTTAATTTCCTTATGTAATAACACCTGCATTTTGTAACAATGTACCGGATTTGGGCACATTGTTTGGGCCTTGAGTTAGGCTGTATTTGTAAGATAATAATAAGCTGATCTTGTTACCGCTTTTTTGTGGTTATTTAGACTAAGATCAGAGTAAAATATAACACCATAGCTCATAGGTGTCTAATTTAATATGTGATAAGTTTTTATGTTAATTTATAAAAATATAACGTGTAAAGATGTGATGATTGGTTATTACATAATTATAACATTTTTATAAGAAAGGAAAAGCGCAACTCCCACATTTTGTAATGACTACCACAATATGTAATAATTTATTACAAATTACAGTGAAACATATTACATATTGCATTCATGTTTCTAACAAAATGTGGCAGCTTGTTACAAAATTGTTTAGTTATTACATAATATTTAGTTGCTATATGCTTTAATACGCCAACCAGCTGGTCCCTAACTTTGACTGTATTCTGTTTGGTGTAGCTTACAGTGGGTTTATCTGAGATTTTTTTGTTAAAAGCAGCTGTCTGCATCTGGAAACATCTGCTGATGAGAGTTGTAAGACAGAACCAAAACAGGAAAGTTGTATACCCACAATAATCAGTTTTAAAATGCTTAAATGCTCTGTAAAGCTGAGGGGAACTACAGAGCCAGGTGATAATTCCCTGTGGGTTTACCACTACAAGTGACACTCATTACATACACTTGGCCATTTGATAAATTGTAAATTGAAAAATATTTATTAAAAGCAGCTTTAAATATATGGTAAGAAACTGGTATAGAAAGTCTACAAAAAGTTGGTATTTGTAAACTAGTTTCCAAGGTCAAAAATGAAATTTCAGTCTCAACTGTTGCTTAGAAAAATGATGTAATAAAATACAATAAAACAAATATACAATTTCAGTAAGATTAAAATAAAAAAATGTGTTATGTGTTGTGCAATACCAGTAACATACAGAATGTTAAAATTGTTTCTGTTTCCAGTTATATTTGAGGGAAAGAAGCAGTTTGGACACTAGGGGTGCTATTACCCCAAAACAAACAAAAACTTGATCATAATCATGAGCCTGAGCAGCTCACTCTCATGCTCATGGCCCAAAAAGCACCCCCTCCACTGTACTGACTTACCAGTCTATATGAGAGACTAACAATCCAAAACACATGTTGCTATATCTCATGTTCACTGTACTGTGTGACAAGTTCACTGACACATGCACATGATCTTTTGCATTCAGCCCATATTCAGGAGACCAGCCTCTGCCAAGAGCAACATGCCTGTGTGCGCAAACAATGTTTGTCAGCAGAGCAGGAGACAGATGTGAGCTGGGTCTGGACAAATGTATTCTTTTTATTCAGAGAGGGGAAGGCTTAGTGGGGTTGACTGCAGGGGATGGTTGCCCCACATCCCACCAGTGCGGTGAGGGGAGGCAGAGGTGGAGCGAGACATGTTTGGGATGGAATGAGGGGGATGAGGAGAAGGGTTGTCAGAAGCAGATGTGACCCCCCTCTCCTCCCCCTGCCTAAATAAGTCATGCTCCAGATCCTTTTATCTACACATGCTAACAGGTACTAGTGAGTTCCCCGAGGAGAGATGTAGAGAGAAAAAGATGGAGAAAAAAAACAGAGAAAGAGACACGGATAGACAGAGAAAGAGCTGTGCCCATCACTGCTGCAAAAGGCTTAAGTGGGCTTTTCTCTAGCCATGGTGTAATTCTGATCTAACCCTGTAGCTCCTATTCACTCTTTCTTATTCACACTCGCACAGAAAAAGAGAAAGTACAGGAAGGTGATGAAATTGATTAAAAAACAAGTTAAGCGGAGATGTCTGAACAGTTCTTCAAACTATTATGAAAGATGTAGGATAAGGAGCAGAAGCACACAGGAGTCAAATATCAGATTTTTTAACGACAGCTTCACAGATTCCAGAGATTTAAAGAGTGTTATTTCCCTCAATCCAACACAGAGGGCGGCCTGCACTCTTTGACATGCAACCCTACACTTAGTACGGATAAAACCTATAGGCTCCAAACATAAGACACTTTATGCGCTACACAAAGACATGAAAATTTCACGCAAAATTAGCATAATTCACACTTGATCCGACTTAATCTCTCACAGAAAAAGCACAAACAAATAGCATTCTCACACACATTCCAGACTCACGCTTACGCACACTAACGCTATGTGAACAGGAGTCACTGAGTGTGAAATGGATGCGGCCCCCCAGCCCTGGTGCCATCAGCCTTAGCCAGCTGGCCGGGGTCCCAGCTCTTCCCCTCCACGCCACTGCCTCCCCAAAACCCTGCACGCTTTGATATCAGCCAGCCCCTGGCTACCCAGACATCTGGAAGTTATTATTCAACAGAGCACGCCACAAAGCGCCATTTCCATAATGAAACATCACATTTTGCCTCAGCGCCCTGCTTTCTGCTCCTGCTCTCCCTGCAAACATGTTTGTTCCAACATGTAACGTATTTCTGACCTCTGATCCAGTCTACCCATCCAACTGTTTGTCTGTCTGCTCATGACTCCTCGGGATCCTTTCATTAGTTGACTCATTGGAAACTTAAGTAGAATAGCCAGTCGCTTGACCTCTGACACACTGTTGCTTAATACTCAGGCTCATACCATACTAAGCAGTGAATAGTTTGAAGCAGCCTGAGCTACAAAAGTGTGAGAATGAAGGCCAGCCTATTCAGAGCCAGAACAGCATACTCATCCTTACACCCACTCCCACTAATAGATCCTTTGTTGGCTGATGTCCCACTCCACCCCTATGATTTTATGACTGACTTTGTGCCATCTCTTCTGTTTTTTGGCCATGCAAAGAAAATCCAGCTGAAAGCTATTTATTTTCTGGTATAAAATAGTTTCATGTGCTAGCTCTCAAAATCTAAATACTAATATGAACAAAACTTGAACTACTTGGAAAAGTCAGATTGCTTCAATCAATTAAACTAACCTGGCTTGCATTAGATTTTTGTACTGGTTTTATGTTCATCTTTTTTACAGTTTCAAGTTCACAGTTTATTATGGGTTATGATTATTTTAAGACTCAAAGTGATAACAGTACAGTTGAAAATTGATTCTGAAGTCCATCTAAAATGTTGAAGATCTGTGTGCTTACATATCTGAGTGTTTGTCTGTGTGTCTGGCTTAGCACGGCAATAAACTGATGAGCTGCCTTATGGCCCAGTGTAAATGGGATGTAGCCACCCATCAGAATCTGGACTAGAATAAGTACATGAAGTTTAATTAAATGCCAAAATTTGCATTTTTGTCATCAATTGTTGTCATGAATTGGTTGTGGAATTGATATTCATTTTTATTGATACACAAATGAACATTGAATTAGAGGGTGTTTGTTATTTCTGATACAGATTTTTTGGCCACTTGGGGGCAGCAAAAACAAACTGTAAACACAACTCTGACATATACATGCAGCATTTACGGAGCAACTTCAACATGCATTTGGAGTTGTGTTTATGGAAACCTGATGAAAGCATGTCCAATATTCACTCTCCTTTATGCTCTGTTTTGCACTCCACCAACTCCTGACAGAAAAAGGTTTGTTCAGCAAAATGCTCCACTATGATCACCAGCTAGTCGCTAACTTTGTCTTTTTGCTGGTGCTGGGTATGTACACTGTAAACCAACTGCAGAAAACAGCTGAAAATAACACTATGAGAACCGTGAAACTGAACATTACAGTTGTGAGCTGCAAAACCAAAACTGAGCTGAAAGAAGATATAAAGCCCTGTAGAACTGAAAGGAACTAAAAAAGTCAGGGGATAATTCTATGTGGGCAAAAAGTGAAACCCTTTCCCATTACAAACAGTCATTTGATCTTTTGTTACTATAAAAACATAGAGTATAACTGCTTCAAAATGTTGTCAATTACTTTCACACACAAGTTTAGGCTGCTATAAAATTTTAGCAGGTTTCTATGGCCAGTAAGAACCAAGTATCAAGACTTAGTGGATCCTTTTCAGTCATTATGTCTTGTAAGTGATACATCTGTCTCAGCTTGATTTGATCTTGTCAGGAACTTACTGGCCCACCTCCTGTATGAGATGTCTAGAATTGCACTGCGTTAGGAAACACGGGCGCCTAATCATGTGTGTTGTCGTTACCTAATCTGATTAACACTCGTGCTGATATTGACTATCAGATCTGGCCTTGTGGTTCTGTAGCTATGGGGAAGGTTGAGCTCAGGCTGCTCAGTCCTCGTCTGACCTCTGACAGCTTTTAAATAGAAGAAGACGAGTCAAGGACCCCTGGGGTATCTAAGGCACAGGATGTTTTCCAATAACAGCTTATGACTGAGGGGAATCGTACTCTCCCCCTGTGGCAGTGTGATTCTATCACTTTTAACCATGTGTTACTGCTACTTCTTCCTACTCCAGTCTCTCCCTCTCTCTCTAAAACCCTGAGGAGTTTTGACCTGATTCTTGGTTGTTACTATCACCAGACCACTAGAGAAAATTTGTCACGAAGAAGAAACTCTGGGATGATAACGTGAAATTGTAACCATGATATTTGTGTTTGTCTGTGCTCATGTGCAGTAAGTGTATAACTCACCTCATTTTCACTTTGTTGAGATGAAGGTGGGTCAATTAGTGCCAGTTGGATCACAGTCTCCCAGACATGTGTGTGTGGACCACTTGCTGTCAGTTTAAACTGGACTGGTTCATCCAGGCTGGCTCCCTCTCCCTTGGCAAAAATGGACCCATCTGTCTGCACGCTGAAGAAAGGGTCACTGCTCTGGAAAACCACCGCTTCATTCCCCATGCAGTCATCAAACTTCACTGTAGACAAGAGAATTGACATGATTTTAATATGCTTTGCAGTAAGGTAAGTTGATTTTAGTGACAACTAAGGAATGAAATACGCACAAAATGCATGTAGGCATGTATGAATGCAATTAAAATTGCTTTTCTCACTCACAGACATGCACACATAGTCTACCCACAGTAAACACACCTCAGTATACATGCAGGAGGTAGATACAGTGGTTGAGTGACTACATAGAGAGATTGCATCATTGTGTCTGGGTTGACACTAGTGCATCTCATCATTAGTCTCCATTAGTTATAGGTCAAACCATCATAAGAATAAGACTCTAGAGAGCTGTTCTCTCCAGTTACATGTGAAAAAAAAAAACAGCCAAGCGATAGTGTGGTGTGCTGTGATTGTGTAAGGAGTGAAACATTGGTCTTAATAGAACTTGCAACTGAATTTGTTTGTAGGCGGACCAAGCAGAATGTTTAGTAATTAACTGCTAGAATTACAGAGAAGACTATCTGGTCATATAAATAAAACCCTTATTATCAAACAAAGTTTCTACTTTTTGTATATTGTATATTCAGGGATTAATCTACAGAAGTCAGCTTCTACACAGTACATTAATATCCCAAAACTGTAGCCTACTGTTCTGTCAGGAAATATTGATTCTACTAGTGTTGTGGCATTTAATGGTCCTATCCATTTTTTGTGAGTGACAAATACTATGCTTTTAGCTTTTAATCTGAAAGCCAAATCGCTTTCTCCAGTTATCTCTGGCAGCTCGACTCAGCTCTCAGCCATGAGGTCATCTGCCTTTACCATGATTGCCACGCAGGTCGTTCCCTCTTCTCTACACTTTGTATTTACACTGAGACATATGAAGACATATATGAAAACCATAAACAGTACTTAACACGTCACATCACTCTCTCACTGTAAAATATATTTTAGGGGAATGGCTTCAGGAGGATTTGGATGGTTTCTTCCCTTCCAAAGATGGACAGGTTCATTGTATGTTTCACCAAATTTTCATCAAATAAGATAAGACAGACCTTTATTTGAAATCACAAATGTTACTGCTATTGCTGCAAGGTGCCTGTGTATCTTGATTTAGTAATATTCTCATATGTTTTCACACCTACTGACCCAAATCCACTGTTTTCTCATACGTGCATTCTTTTTACCATAATTATTAGTGCTGCCCACAACTCTCTAGAAGACATGGTATATTGTATCTGCACAGTGCATATATATATATATATATACATAGTCAAGTCAATTTTATTTATATAGCCCAAAACTACGCACCCCCAACCACATCTGCCTTTTTTTTTTTTTTTTTTTTTTTTTTACAATTGTATGAGACCAAATAAGAACACACCCATACAAGAAATATTGTGCATATGTATGTCTTTCATGTAAACATTTTGTGTATTTGTGTGAACAGGAAAGGTTTGTTTTAATTGCTGCCTAACAAAGACACATAGACTCACACCATATACAGTACTATAGAAAACGGTTCTCTGATTGCCTGACAACAACAGTGGCTTATTCACCTCCTTCAAAACGGAATATTACCTACAGTAGGTAGGAGATGTGCCGAGGTTCAGTTGCTTCAGGAACAACACGGTATACAAAGGAATGTAATCAAAAGGGAGGTCAAGACAGGAAAAAATAGTTTTGTGTTTTCCGCTGTATACATTAAATACATATTCTGTCACATTAGAAATGACTGTACTGTACTGTGTATAGTACCAGCACAGCATGGAGCTTTCTGTATTGTCAGGGCACTCTTGTGTTTGAACTCTTATGAAACTCTAACACAGGTCATGAGAAGATGAGTCACACACAAGTGTAGCCAATACTAGCCTCCCATCCTCATCTCCTTCCTCCCTCATGGCACCCACAGCCTTCCCTCTCAGGGATTACAATGTCTAGACGGCATTTCGTAGGAAACCCTGAGCTGAGGCCATAACTCACTGCCGAATCGTCTCTTTCTATCTTCTCACGTCTCCATAACAGCTGAAACAAGGATTCCATTACAGAAAGTAAACTGCAAGTAAATCCGGCTTTTTGTTCTGTCTGGCCCTAAGTATGCCTGTGATCATGTCAGTAGTACCCTTCTAAAGCCAGATGTCCGGACAGCCACTCAGTGCTCAGTCAGCGCAGACAGCTCTTCAACAACACTGAGTCCACTGAGTGTAGCAGGTGCTGCACAAGTGTCCTGGTCTAGACAAGAGGAGACAGGACATGAGAGATGGATAACATCAACCCAAGAGGCAGAAAAGCCTCTGCTGTTCATCAAATTGTTTCTTTCTTTGTGTAGCTGAACACTTCTACCCCAAACAAACCTCTAAAAAAGCTTGCTTGCTGTTTTCTGTTTGTCTCATTCTCTTCCTTTTTGTCTAATCCAATCTCATTTCTTTTATCATTATTTTTGAAGATTCTCAAAGATTAGATTTTGAATGTGGGGGCTACAACAACAAACACACCAGTTGGCAAACATGTGTCTGTGTAAATAGAGTTTTGGAAAGCTGCCTGATTATATTAACAATGAGAAAGTCAAAACTCACACTCAAATCATGCTTTATTGTATTTCTAAGCCCTTGTATCTGTGAAACAGTCAAATTCTGGAAAAAAAAAAACACACAACACAAGCAGCAGGTGGTCTGTTGCCCCTTGTCTCTCTGTCCTCCAATTATTGTCTAGTCTGTCTCTCTGAGCTCTGAGCTAGGCACAATGCCAGCAGTGCAGTAGTATTGTGGTTGTGGCTGGTAGAGGCCTGCAGGCTGAGATTTCACTCTGAGGGGAGGGGTAATCGAGGGGGGTACCTTTAAAAATATTCTGTGAATATAGCTGTGTTCACTTTGAATATTAAGAAAAAACTGCTACAAGCTGCTAAGGACCTCATGGCAAAGAGCCCTGTGTTTGAATGTGTATGAGTGAAATGCTTTGTGTCTATATTCGACAGCCCTGTGATTGACTGGCAACTTGGTCAGGGTGCAGATTTTCATCTCAACTTGTTTGTCAAAGATACTACAATAAAGTCTGTATTTCATAATTGTTTACTTTCTTTTTTTCTTCTTTTCTGAATTTATAATGCTCAGAGACACTAATGGTGCAGGAAATAGGGTCACTTTAAGCTACGATCTCTCTGTTATGATGATTTAATGTGCTTTTCATTATTTGTTTATTAGTAAAAAAAACAGAAAACTAACTACAGTACAATAAAGTACATGGCTTACGATATACAAACAGCAAGAATAACACATAAAAACTAAAGGTATCTTTCAGTGAAAATCTGTAAAAGTTTAAATCAATGATAGTAGTGTATATAGTGTATGTGTATAATCAGTCCCTGTGTTTGAACAACGTGTGATGTAGGCATTTATTTTCTATGATTGTCTGCATATCTCAGGAATGACAAGCTGAGCTAACTGCACCAATACCCACACACAAACGGAGTGACAGGCTGTGCATAGAGCACCCAGAGGGTCTTGTTCTTGCACCAATTAAAGAAAAAGACAGTGCCAATTTTTACCCCTCCATCAGCACACACACACACACACACACACACACACACACACACACACACACACACACACACACACACACACACACACACACACACACACACCCACACACAAACACACACACACACACACACACACACACACACACACACACACACACACACACACACACACACACACACACACACACACACACACACACACACACACACACACACACACACACACACACACACACACACACACACACACACACACACACACACACACAAACCTCCAATAGCTCCTCTTTCACTCAGCTGGGTCGATACTGCTATAAGAGAGATTATAAAATCGGCCAACAACAGAGCAATGAAGCCCAACGGCACAATGCTGCACATTAACAAGTCGTCTAAAGCAGTGGGCCCAGGTTGTGCATTGATCTGGCAAATAACACAGACACCCCAGTGTGCCAACCAGCCAGTCCAGCACTTCTCCACTATCTATGTGAGCAGTCACACCCCTGCAATGTTACAAATACCACCATGCCATGTGTGTTCCCACAGTGGGAGGGAATATATTCCATGATTTCTTCATTACAAGTGCTTAGAAGGCAGTGAAACTGTGCTTGGTGTGTTGCTTTGATGGCATCACACCCCAAGCCACATCCTCACATTTTCTCCACTTTTCTAATTAAAGTTCCATTCTCCTTCTAACAAGACAAGGACAAGGAGGGGAGCAACGCTGAAAAGAGTTGTGACCTTCTTGGAGTGTTCTCTGGACAGACTGACAGAAAGTAGGTGACAAGTGTTGAAAGTGAGAAAGGGATACAGTGCAGTCAGGGGAGAGAGAGGAGCTGAGGAGTGACAGAAAGAAGGTGAGAGGAGAAGGGGGAGAAGTGAAAGGCAGAAAGGGAGAGAGACTAGCCCCTTTCATACAGCCTGTATAAGGAGGGAAGGTCGCGACGTTATTCCGCCTCACCATTCTGTTTAAGACGTATGAACACTGAATGGTATGTGTGCGACCCACCACCAGTGGATTTAAAAAGCAGATAGCAGCAGTTAGCAGCTTATCATGATCAAATATGCTGCCTCCATGAATTTGCCATTGTTTGCCATTATTTAAGATGCACAGAAACTTGGCATAAATGTGCATGGCTACCAAAACCAAGCCTCAGAATAACAACAACATAAGTCTACAGTTTCAAAATCAAAGAATACATTTATTAATCAGAGCACCTAAGAACGTAGTAAATATTTGTAAAATTTTAGAACGATTCTTGGTCAAAATTAGAAGGGAGGCATGTAATAGCTGTCTGTGGCTTGCAGATCTCTCTCGCTCTGTCTCTCATTGACTGTCCCTTCACTACCCTGTCGTTTCCCCTGTCTGTGGATTGCTACGATAGGGGGAAATGGATTTAAAGATTTAAATGCATGAAAGGAACTGGGCAAAGAAACTGAACTAAGTGATGTGTTCTGTCTGTCCGTCCGTCTGTCTATCAATCTCCTCTG